AGAAGATATCGCACTGTTGACCTCTCGCAGATCTAACCTGAATTGTTGCGCATCGTCCCCAACGTTGTTGTCAGCACGAATGGGCCTGCCACGATTGAACTTAATCGGGTCCCACGCGAAACGCAAAGAAGGCTCCAGCGGGGCAAGCTCCCGGGTGGCATCGGCGACGCTACCCCATCGGCCAGTATACACGCACGCCTTGAAAGACTTGTACAAGTCCTTATGGTAGCAAGCTGGAGCAGTCGAAAAACACGTTTCCATCAAGCGCTCATTGCTAAACCGACGTCGAACCATGTCGCAAATGGCCTTGAGGCCCTTCGTCCAATCAGGGAAATACTCCATGACCTTTTTGAGCTCCTCTGTCGCATTATGGATGGTATGGCACACGCCTGGAATCAAAAGCCACGAAGTCGTGTCCACGACGAGCTCTCCTGGTTCGCCGCGGTCACCGACATCAACATCACTTGCTGCGGCCGGCGCAGGATCAACAACAGCCTCAGGAGGTCGCTCGTCTCGAGCCTCGCTTTGCATTTCACCCTCGCCGAGAAAATGAAATTCACCCGCATCGCCTGGCCCGCCCTCGACGTCATATTCGAACTCGTCTGGGATTGCATTGGCCTCATCGTCACCATCTACGAACTGGAACTCCTGCTCGCCCCCGGGCAACCACGGGAAGAGACTCCGAAGGAAGAAAGGGGGGTGCACCCCCAAGTGCATCTCTGTTCCACAATCTGTCGTGCTGCTGACAGCGCTGCGCGTCGTGTCCAAAGCGCGGGCCCAAGACGGTTCCTCAAGACGAATCTGATGCAACAGCGAATGCGATTTGTGCAACGAGCTCGAGGCAGCAGACCCGACAGACACTGGTGTCATCGATCTCTCGCGCAAGTGCTCTCTCAATGCTTTGATGCTCTGCAAAGCGTCGGTTGTCTGATCGTCGTCCAACTCCAATCCATTCGCAGCGTACAAGCGCCTGCTCGACAAGGCGAGCGCAAGGTTGCAAAACAAAGATGACGATGAGAGAAGGGGAAGGGGGGGGCAGGGGGAGGGGGGGGGAGGGGGAGGAGGAGGAGGGGGAGGAGGGAGAGGAAGGAGGACGCCTAGGGAGGATGAGGAGGAAGAGGGAGAGGAGGGAGCGGAGTGGAAGGAGAGGATGACGAGGAAGAGCCGGATGAGAAGGAGGAGCACCTCGCGGCGCCCAACAGCCCGATCAATCTGTTCAACGGTACTCTGCATATTGTGCTGTTGAACCAATCCCGCTTCCCCTGAGGCGAACTATCAGCACTAAGGAAGACTGCGTACTGAGAGTGACGACTGTTCCATTCACGAAGAAGCAATAAGAAAGCACAATGAAGTGTAAGGCGATGCCGCTGCACGGTCGACTTGGATGGAAGCTGGCCAGGTGTCTCAACGTGCTCGATGAACGTCTCAGCCCATCCATTCGGCAGTGCCAACTTCAAAGCATACTTCACCGCATCGTATAATGACGACTGGTTTTTTAATTTGGAGGCCATCAGCATGCACGTGACTAAGAATTGCATTCTGTAAGCAAGCCTTGTGTTGACAATTTCCATGTTAGACGGGTGATCCAAGACGTCACGAGCATGATCGAGCCACCTAGCGACTTCGTTCCACCTGGCCAGGTCATCCTCAGATGCTCCGGCGCCAGCACCAATGCGAACTCTGTTGCACAGATCCCTTTCGGGGCGCTGGTCGGAGGAGGAGGGGGGGGGAATGGGGAAGGGAGGGAGGAATGGGGGGGGGGGCGATTTGACGTTGAGAAGGGAGGGAGACGGAAGGCGGGGAGGATGAGGAAGATAAGGGAGGAAGGGCTCGACCTCTCAGAAGGGCTGACCAGGAGGAGGCGGAAGAGAAGGATGAGGAGGAGAAGGGGGTGGAGGGCGTGCTGAGCGTGCTGACTAAATGGGGCAGGGCCCCCTCTCCGAAGAGCAGACAGCCCCCCCTCCTCAGGAAAAGCCTCAGACGCACCCCTCTCCTTCAGGGTCGAGAAGGAAATGGGGGGGGAGGAGTGGGAAGATTAGGAGGCGGAAGAAGTGGAGGACGCGAGCAACCGCCCCCCTGGTCAGGCGCGGCCTGAACTCGTCGGCGACCGAGTCCAGCAACTCCGCGTCCAGCGGCCGCTGCTGGACGACGTGAGGAACGGCAGCGGCAGGTGGTCGCCCTCTGGGCGCCCGGGGGAGAGGAGGGCGACGGTGACGACGGCCACAGACGGCTCCGACGCCACATGGACCGTTCAACCTTGAACGATCGTTGCTCTCCGATAAGCCAGATTGTTCAACGCCGACCAGCCCTGGGCCACTGGCGGCAATCAACCTTGAACGCCCGCGCTCGGATCGCCGACACGTCGGCGCGGCGCGAACCCACTGTAGGCCTTTTCAATGGCTCTCTCATCGCCGAACCATTCCAGGAACGAAAGGGTTGGGCAATCGGGGGCGAGGGGGCCAAGGGTCGGTGACCGGTGATATGCTGACCCTTAGACCAGGAATATCGACCCGACAAAATCTGGCGACGCTGCTGCACGTAAATATTGTCGCAAGGACCCCCCAAGCTTCGAGGCCCACCGTGGGCCTCCTCTTCCTTCTCCTACTCCCCCTCATCCAACGCCCCCCTCACCCCAACATGGGGAAAACACCCCCCCCTCACTCTCTAGGTGGCCCTGAGGGCCGAGGGAACCCCTGCTCTGCCACACCTCGACAGGGGAGGGGGGGGGCCGCGATCGCTCGAAGTGCCCGGGGAGGGGGAGAGGTGGAAGAGGATGAGGAGGAGGCGGAGGCATCGTCGTCGACTTCATCGTCATTGTCATTTTCGTCGTCTTCAATGTCGTCGTCGACGTCGACGTCGACGATGTCGTCGACGACCTTCGGGCGATCGTCGGGCGATCGTTGTCGCCGTCGTCGCGGCGACCGTCGTCGTCGTCGTCGGGCGATCGTCGTCGTCGCATTCGCGCCCGACCCCCGCTGCCGGCTCGAGGCGGGGCCCACGGCTTGATGAAGGAAGCGCCGACGCGGCTCATCTTCTGGCCCTTCCAGGGCAGAGGCCAGCAGAAGTTGCCCGCGGCCCGATTGAATATGGCGATGGCCTGCTCAGGGAAGAGCCTCAGGGCGCAGGAACTATCCTGCCCGCCGCCCTACGCAGGAGCAGCGCAACTTCGGAAGGCGCGAGGGGGAATAGAGCGGGGATTGGCCCTGCCAACGCGGGCGGAAACTCGCTCAGTTACTCCTGCCAACGGGGGCGGGAACTCGTTCAGTTATTCCTGCCAAGTCTCACTGTGCTGCTTGCGCTCCCACCTTTTCCGTCAAAAAAAGGAGCGGTGATTGTTCCTGTCTGAACATCACAGGGGGGAGGGAGGAGGGGAAGAGGGAAAGGGGAGAGGGAGGGGGGAGGGGGGAGGGTGGAAGGAGAAGGGAAATTCCATGACATGACCACGCGGAGTGCAAGATGAGAGAGAGGGCGCTGCCCAGCGAGCCCCGCCCCGCCCGTCCTCCAAGGCACCACCAGCCAGTCGTCGCAACTCCTGCGCTTCCAGACGGGCGCGCGAAAGGAAGAGGAGGGGAAGGACAGGGAGAAGGGGAAGAAAGATGAAGGCGACGGTGATACCCGTTGCACCACGCGCACCGCGGGGGAGTGCACAAGAGCAACAGCTCAATCGGTCAAGCTCCCGAGGCTCCCTGCAGGGGCCAGTGGGGGGACGAAAACGGGGAGGCGGTGGTGGTGTTTCCAGAACACCTAGGGGCACTGCCAATTGTGCGCGCGGGGAGCGTCAGGCTGGGGCCTGACAGGCAAACCCCGCACCACGCAGATCGCGGACGGGTCGTCCACGCGGAAGCGGGCCCCAGAGGTGACAGATGACAGATTCTGTCGAGGCCCCCGAGACGACAAGTACGCGGCCCCCGGTACGACGAGAACGCCACATAGACAATTTCTGTGCCACTGATACATGGCACTAAGGCCCCTGATACATGATGATGATGATGGTGATGATGATGGTGATGTTGATGATGATGACGATGATGAAGATGGTGATGATGATGATGATGATGATGACGATGGTGATGGTGATGGTGATGGTGACTCTTACGCGTCGTCGAGACGACAGCCGGCCCTCCTCCTCCTCCTCCTCCTTCTTCTCCTCCTCCTCCTCCTCCTCCTCTGGCCGCGGCCCTCCTGTAGGCGGGCGCGGTCGCCCTGCTCGAGCTGCTCGAGGAGGGTCGCCGCCGAGGTCCTGCCCGCCGCGGCGCAGGCAAGGAGGGAAGAGGGGTCGGCGCCAAGATCGACGACGACGATCGACGATCGACGATCACGACGGACGATCGGCGAAAGCTGACGACGACGGCGACGATCGGCGATCGACAGCGACGCTGGCGATCGACGACGATCGCCCGACGAACCGCAACTCCCCCTCGAACGGTGGACCCTCATCCCAGCTCCCTCATCCCTCCCCCTTGATATCTAAGATGTCCCTCCCCCTTCTATCCTCGCATCGGCCTGCCCTCAATGACCCATCCGTGCCTTTTCCTGGCTCCGAGAAGCCCTCCCCCCCTCTGCCGAAGCCGCGTCGATCGTGGTCGTCGTCGTCGGTCGTCGTCGATCCTGCCGCCGCCCCCCCTCCTCCCCCCTGGCCGGGCTGTGGTCATGGGCCTTAGTCCCACCCGCCCTTTAGGGCGTATGTGGTTTAGAGGGGTTCCTCTCCCATCTTCCCTCTTCTCCTTCGGGAAGGTTTATCATTGTTTCCTATTAATAAACACCTCCTCCCCCAGGCGACTGGGGGCCAACGGGGAACCATGACCGCCCCCCCCCCCCCCACACCCCCCACCCACACACACACACACACACACACAACACACACAACACACACACACACACACCACACAACACACAACACACACACACACACACACACACACACACACACACACACACACACACACACACACACACACACACACACACACACACACACACACCACCCACCCACACCGTCCCATCTAAAAAACAATACAAAACGCACTCTGCCTCCAAATTCGGAGCATGCGCAGCCAAGCGCGCGCCCCGCCCCCCCCCCCCCCCCCCCCACCACCATCTCCGTTCACAAAAACAATGGAAAGTCCACTTGAGGCCAACGTCTTGGGTTATATTCGCGAGCCCCGCGAGCACTTTGTATTGTTTTGTTTTTTTGGTTGGCAGGGATGGCGCGGGTGCCAACAGATTGCCTGCTGCGCGCAAGGCCGCCATCCCTGTCAACAAAACAATGTAACATGCACTTCGCGGCTAAACCTGGATTGCGCAGGCACCCAGCGACCATTGTCAACTGGTTTTTGACAAGGACGGCGGGGCGGCCTGCTGTTTGCAAGCCCACCGTGCACCACTCTGGCCACCCCGCCGCGATTGCGCATTGGCTTTCGAGAAGGATGGTGGGGAGGGGGCGACATATTTTCCGATGTGTGCTGACACTTGCGCGGACGCACCTGGCACGCTCTCCGCGCGCCCCGAACGTGGCGCACCTGGCGCGGCTGGACCATTCGGCGCACATGGCACACGCGGAGCGTCTGGCGCATCTGGCGCACCAGGAGGTGCCTGGCACGCTTGGCCCCCATGGGCGCCTGCCGCACCTGGCGCACGTGGCGCGCCCA